ATCATAATTAAAATGCCAAGAGCAAAAGACAAAGAGAGAATCTTAAAAGCAGCAAGAGAAAGAAACTCAGTTACCTACAAGGGAATACCCATACGACTGTCAGCTGATTTCTCAACAGAAACTTTGCAGGCCAGAAGGGAGTGGCAAGAAATATTCAAAGTGATGAATACCAAGAACCTACAACCAAGATTACTTTATCCAGCAAAGCTATCATTCAGAATTGAAGGTCAGATAAAGAGCTTCACAGATAAGGAAAAGCTAAAGGAGTTCACCACCACCAAACCAGGATTATATGAAATGCTGAAAGGTATCCTTTAAGAAGAGGAAGAGGAAGAAAAAGGTAAAGATACAAATTATGAACAACAAATATGCATCTATCAACCAGTGAATCTAAGAATCAAGTGAATAAATAATCTGATGAACAGAATGAACTGGTGATTATAATAGAATCAGGGACATAGAAAGGGAATGGACTGACTATTCTTGGGGGGGAAAGGGCTGTGGGAGATGCGGGAAGAGACTGGACAAAAATCGTGCACCTATGGATGAGGACAGTGGGTGGGGAGTGAGGGCGGAGGGTGGGGCGGGAACAGGGAGGAGGGGAGTTATGGGGGGAAAAAAGAGGAACAAATGTAATAATCTGAACAATAAAGATTTAATTTAAAAAAAAAATGAAAAGGTTATGTAAATCAGTGCCCAAATGAGAATTAATTCTGCAAGATTAACCAGAGGTTCTTTGGCCTGAACTTTAAGCTTCTAAACATGGATAGGCTGTTTTATTTATTCTATTTATCACAAGTCTCCAGAAAGGTAACATTTTGCATTGCTCATAGTTCTACTTCAAATGCTTACACATCTTGGGATTTAAGTGGCTCTGAAAGGTTTTTAGAATCTGTATTAGATTAGCTATCTACAAAAATATATATATAAAACACACAAAGTCAACTATTCTTTAATAAATAAACACATAAACACTTTGAAAAAAAAAATAAGAATCCATTCTTTACTTTTTTAAAATACATTTTTATTGATTTCAGGGAGGAAAGGAGAAGGAGAGATAGAAACATCAATGATGAGAGAGAGCCATTGATCTGCTGCCTCCTGCCTACCCCCTACTGGGGATCAAGCCTGAAACTCGGGCATGTGCCCCGACTGGGAATCGAACAGTGACCTCCTCATGGTTCATAGGTCGATGCTCAACCATTAAGCCACACCAGCTGGGCAAGATTCCATTTTTTAAATGTCAATTCCACTACCCTAAATTTAGGATGTACTGATAAATATTTCAATATGCAGTCCTGAAATACAATTTAAAAACAAAACCAATATGATTTTCATTGTAACCAATGCTGATACTAGAACTTAATTCAGGAGTTGTAAAAACAGTCTCATAGCTGGATGCATCCAATGTGACTCAGATGTTAGATATATGTGAATGACCTGCCTAATTTGCTCATGAGTACTGTAATAGGTATGGCAGATTGCTGCAGTAAATGCTCCCCAATAATTACATTTCCCTCTGTGACTTGCACTGGATAATGGTACACTGCCAAACACGCACGCAGAAGCCTTGGCAATGCAGGAGGACTTGCCCTCTCTTGCTGCCGAGAACCCCCCACTATCATGTGACTAATCCCAGAAAAACCTGCTGGGGACACGGGACCCAGCAGCAGCCAGCAGCCAGCAGCCAGCAGCCAGCAATTCTCTCCAGCCTGAGTGAGGAGGCAACGCCAGACCAATCGGTCCCCAGTGGACCCACCTGCTGTTGTAGCTGCAGGAACAAGTACAGGCAAGAGCCTACATTTCTGACACAGAATTATGAGTTAATTAAAACTGGTTCTGAGCCATTAAATTTGGGTTGGTTTGTTACCCAGCAAAGCATAATTGAAATGTATCAAAAAAATTAAGGAAGGCTAACTGCTGTAATAAATGGACTCCTAAATACATAATGGCTTACATACAACAGAAAGTGTATCTACTGCTTATATAAACAGTTAAATATACTGTTGGCATACTCCTGAATTATTTTAACACAAAATTCCTTCATTTTGAAATAATTTCTTTTAAACATTACTTGTTTTTACATTATCAACATAAAAGTTTCTTGCATTTGGATATTTCTTATGTTTCCATTTTGTCTCTGTAACTCTTTATTTTGCCTTTCCCAATTTGCGAATAAAACCGCCGTGTCTTTTACAGCTAAATGTTCTTGGGTATCCTGGGATGACTACAAGGTAACCCTTGATTTGCCTCTTCACCTTCTAAAAGAAAGAATAGAAATAACTAAATTTGTTTGGTACTTCCAATTTTAAAAAATATATTTTCATTGATTTCAGAGAGGAAGGGAGAGGGAGATAGGAACATCAATGATGAGAGAGAACCATTGATTGGCTGCTTCCTGCACGTCCCCTACTGGGGATTGAGCCCGAAGCCTGGGCATGTGCCCTAACTGGGAATCCAATGGTGACCTTCTGGTTCATGGGTCGACGCTCAACCACTGAGTCACACCAGCTGGGCAGGTATTTCAAATTTTAACTAACTTGGAACTATTATGAGAGCTCTTTAGTTTTCCAAACATAGACCAAGAGAACAAAACCTGACAAGTCATAATAGACATTTTTTAAAAAAATATATTTTATTGATTTTTTACAGAGAGGAAGGGAGACAGATAGAGAGTTAGAAACATCGATGAGAGAGAAACATCTATCAGCTGCCTCCTGCACATCTCCTACTGGGGATGTGCCCGCAACCAACGTACATGCCCTTGACCGGAATCGAACCCGGGACCCTCTAGTCCGCAGGCCGACGCTCTATCCACTGAGCCAAACCGGTTTCGGCTCATAATAGACATTTTAAAAAATGACTGGAAATCAGAGAAAAACTACCTGAGTCTTGATGAACGAGACCTTCCCAGGAGCTCTTTGGCTCACGGGTCTTGAAAGTCCTCTTGGAACAGATCCCACCAGGTGAAGGTGGGAGAGAGGAGGACAAAGGAGACAGCTTCTACCCAGCACAACGGAACAAGATTAACCTTTGATAACTCAGATTGTCCTCTTTCTGCTTTACTGCAAATCTCACGTTACTACCCTCTGGTGCCCCTAGCAGTCACCTAATGGTCTCACAGACTGCTTTTACCTATTCTCAAGGGGGTACTTCACTCTCCTATCTTCCCTGATATAAGCAAAGGCAAAGCTCTCTTGTTTCTCCCAGTCCACCGCTACTGCTCTAGATCTGACTGCTGGATCATTTTCATCCTATCTTACCTCCTGACAAAAAATTAACAGCTATTACTTTATATGCCTCAAAAGGCAGGTCCCTTCTGATATTTGCATTTTCTTCACACTGATTAAAACCAAACCTGCAGTATTTTAAAAATTTGAACCTCAAATCAAGGAAATACTTCTGCTGAAATTATTACAGTACAGACATTACAAGCTCACTAGGAGGGGGAACAAATACTGGGACTATCCCTGTGGCAATGGCCAGTCTGTCCTCTGTGGGACGCTGTAGTCTGATTTGGAAGAACTCTTTACCTTCATTCAGGGAATCTGCCTGCCTCAAAGGACAGATGGCTGGCTCATGTCTAATGTGATAAATGTTATTTACACTCCTAATATAGTCTACCCCCATCCTTGTTTTCAACCAGTGTTGCTTTCATTCTTCTTTTCAACCAATATCATGATTTGTGGGATATGGCTAAAGCAGGGCATAGAGGAAAATCTATAGCATTCTGAACAAACGCTTTCAGAAAAGACGAACACTTCACAACCCTTTTAGTGAGCCCTCCATTACCCTGACACCAAAACCAACAATACTGCAAGAAAAAAACTATCGACCAACAGCCCTCGTGGATATAGACTGGGGAGTGGGGGTACCCTAACTAAATATTAACAAATTGAATCCAGATGTATTTAAAAAAATTGGTTCAACAGTAAAAATAAAAATAAAAAAAATTCAACAAAATTTATATCGACAGATAAAAGAGGAAAAACCATATGATCATTTCAGTAAATAAAGCAGCATTAGACAAAATTCAACATTTATTCATAAGTCCTCTTAGGAAACGGGAACAGAAGATAATCCCTCAATTTTTAGAGGACATCTACAAAACAACCCTACAGTTAAATTTAATAGTGAAAGACTGAATGTGTTCCCTTTATGCTCTCAACTTTTAGCACTTTCATTCAGATCTCACTGGAGATCTAGCCAATGTAATAAGAGAGAAGGGAAGAGGAAGCAAGGAAGGAAAAGAGGGAAGAAGAGGGAGGAGAAGAGAGAAAAAGAGAAGGGGAAGGGAAATAAAGAAGGAAGAAGTGACAGGAGCTAAAAATAAAGGAAAAATGACAGAAAATAAAAGATTACAAAGAAAGTAATGATCTATTTATAGAGACAGTATGACTGTCTATGTAGAAAATTTCAAAAGAATATACAAAAAAATTACTAGAATAAGTGAGTTAAAAAAGATAATAGGATACAAAATCAATGTACAAAATTCAATTGTTTTTCATGTACTAGCAGTAAACAACTGGAAATTAAAAATTTAAGAACAGCATCGTTTACAATAACACTATAAACCATGCAATAATTAGGTATAAATTCATCAAGATCCATATGCTGAAAACTATAAAATGTTGAAGACATTTAAAAAACCGAAATAAATGGTGATATTATGTGCTCAATGGCTGGAAGAGTTCATGTTGTAACTAAAACAACTGATCTGTAGATTCAATGCAATCTCAAAGTACCAGCAGGAGTTTTTGTAGCAACTGACAGATTGGCTCTAAACTTTACATGAAAGACCAAAGGAACTAGAAAAACAAACATTTTGAAAATAAAAGAAAAAGGAGGGAAGTTGGAAGACCTACAGTACCTAATTTCAAGATTACTGCAAAGCACAAAGTTATAATAATCAAGACAGTGTAGTATTGGGGAAGGGCAGAAATAGGCAAATCAGTTTGGCAGCATCTTACAAAGGTAAAAAAATATTTACAACTCAGTAATTCCACTCCTAGGTATTTATTCAAGAGAGATGAAATCACATGTTCACATAAGATTTATATATAAATGTTACAGATACTTTATTCATAATAGCCCAAATTAGAAACAGCCCAGGTGTCCAGCAATAGAATGGGTAACGAACTGTAGTATCTTCATACAATGGAATACTACTCAGCAATAAAAAAGAACTGATTCAAGCAATAAACTGATGCCTATCACAGACACAATGAGCAAAACAAGCCTTACACAAATAAAGGACATTTTGAATGTTTTCATCTAGTCCACAGTGACACGAAACGAAGCAGGTCTGTGCTGCCCAGGGCTGAGGACGGACGGGTGGGTGGGACCCGAGTGGAAAGAGGCTGGTGGTAACTTCTGAGGGGTGATAAGAACGTTCCCTGTCATGGTGATAGTTGCTCAGGTGTACACAAGTGTCCAAACTCATCAGACCATACCCTTCCAATGCATGTTTTTGTTGTATGTAAATTAGAACTTACTCGAGTTGTCTTTAAAAAGCTGTGAAAGAAAACTGGTTAGAAATAGAACACCGTTCTTGTTGAGGAAACAAGCCTCTAAAAACGAAAATGAGTTCCCACATCTGTGTCTGGCTGTCTCGACCACAATCTCTGTTTGCAATACTTTCATCTGTTTTCATTTGTTTCAGCAGCACTCACACTTACCAGTCAGATAAAGAATTTTCCAGTGACTTTACTACTCTTACCCCTTAAAAGGTCTGACACAAATGCTTATTCAGGAAGTAGGCTTTGCACACCCACGCTAGTCATATATTTGCGATGCCATTACACATTACCAACTTTTGCCTGGAATTATAATTTTCCCCAGGAGCTGACCCATGTTTCCTGGTCCTCCTCTTGCCAACCTGACCCAGCCATCCCAACAGCAGCATCCCCTGGACAGCAGGATTCACCCTTCCTGTCTACTTCCACAAATTCTGCTTCCAACAACAGCTTTCTTCTGGTGTGAATGTCTGAGGACACTTGTAGGATGGAAAGATATGGGACAGATGAACCAGAGAGAAAACCCTAGGGTTGCTCATTGGAGGCACCTCAGCACTGAGCAACCCCGGGGAAGCACGGCCCTATCCAATGGGCATCTGAGGGTAAGAGGGGGGCAGGGTGCCGGGAAAGGTCCAGTTCAGCCAGCCTAGACCTTCCACTCGCTCAGTGTACTTACCATGCACTTACCGCCTCAGAGCTCTAATGGTGCTGGCAACTATTGTGTCTAATACCTCCTGAACCCTAACAGACAGACAGACAGACACACACACACACACACACACACACACTCTCTCTCCTGCTTTCTCACAACTTGCCCAGTATTCCTGACTGGCTTCTTAAGGCTCTGCCTTCCATGTAAGATCCAATCTTTGGTGTCGGAATTGGTGTTCTTTATCTCAGGTTCTCCAGCAGCTACTTCTGGCATAATCAGCTTTTCCCAGGCAGAGATCTTGTCCTTAACACACTGCAGATGGATCATGAGAATTCTCATGTTTTCTGTTCTAAGGCTTGTGGCCAATCATACTTTAAATAGATATTAGCTTGTCAAACCATGTAGTAAATAACTTCAAAATGCAATGAGTATTTAAAGCGAGCCTTTAACATTTATGTAACACGTTTTTTGTAGTCGTTCAATAGAAACTTATCTGGCCACTGGGTAAAGCTAGCAATAAAACTACTGGTCCGCAATGTATTAAGATGTGATAAAAGTACAACTGGGAGTTGTCCTGGTATTGTCCTTCATGCCTTACACTAAATGACCACCAAGGTGAGTTGTTTCCACAGCACTCGAAGTTCTTCCATCCTATTGTCATTGCTTTAGCTTTGCCCCTATCATCTCGCCTGGATTACTATAAATTTTCTACCACTAGTCTCATCCCTTTCTTCCTGATTTGTCTTTTTCCTGTTTAAAATCCTTCAATAACAGTTTGGCACATACATCCCTTCAGGGTTTGTCACCTGCTTAACTATCTAGATATAGCAATTCCACGAATGTCATGTTTGGCTGAGTTATGCTTTCTGCCTTGGGAATACCCTTCCCAAACTTCCCACTCCACAAGTCCTTTTATCCATATCTCCTAGACAGGATCTGTTTGCTCATAAAGACTTGGTTTAATCATGACCCTCCTTACTGCCTGCACAACACCCTGTGGACCTATCACAACATTTATTATTCTTTATTAAGTGGCACTCCTTTACTTCACCCAATAAAGATTAGTTCCTAGAGGTCGGCTATCTTTGATTTCAATATTCTTGGTCCCCAACAGTCCATAGAACCAAGTAGTACTTAATATATAATTGCCGAAATAGTAAATCTCTAGATTTTAGCAAGAGGGAAGATCAGACCTTACAATGTCCTCTATTATAGTTAGGTTTCTTAAACACATCAGCTAAGGTCTAAGGCATTGCTCCAAAACCCCATGACTGGAGAGAATAACAAAACTTATTTATTCATAGATGGCACACATATTTTTACTGTTCATAATAACCACTTAACATTATTAGATGCTCTAATTGTTTGGTGCATTTAATCCTCACAACAACCTTGAGGTAGGCAGCAGTATCACCTCTTTCTACAGGCAAAGGCGAGGCACAGAGAAGCTTAAGTATCTCAGTATCTCGCCCTCTGTCACAGAGATGGCAAACTAGGCAGTCTGATTCCAGACAGAATCCATGCCCCTAACCACTTACCCACTACGCTACAAACAATACTTCTTTCATCCTGAAAACTGTGCTGCAAGTACAAAATTTACAAATAGGTTTTACATTAGAACTTTCAAAGTATATCTCTACACATGGTTAAGGTAATGAAGAAAGAGCTTTTTCTCCACTACCACCACAATCATTTCTTACGTTACCACAAAATTTTAACCAATACTTTTGGATTCAATTTTGTGATGGTGATTATACAAAAGCAGAGAAACTGTAACATTCGTTAACTCATGGTAACCTTTCAGCATTCAGATAATTCTCAGTTTTACTGTTATGTACTGTCAACTTGTAGACGTAAAGGTGGAAATGACAGATTTTCTTGAAAGCATTCTTCTCTTATATTCTGCTTCTAAATTATAGGATAATTTGACAAGATCATTTGGAAGCTTTATTTATTAAAAATATCAATAATGAATTGTTCCATTTTAGTTAAGAACTAGGAATCAAAGAAACCAGTCACTCTAAGACTTGGGGTCCTGACAGGTGCCCCACAGTCTAGGGCAGAGCTAAGCAGTACAATACCACTTTTAAAAATTTCACTTATAGCCCTAACTGGTTTGGCTCAATGGATAGAGCGTCGGCCTGTGGACTCAAGGGTCCTGGGTTCGATTCCGGTCAAGGGCATGTACCTTGGTTGCGGGCACATACCAAGTGGGGAGTGTGCAGGAGGCAGCTGATCAATGTTTCTCTCTCATCGATGTTTCTGATTCTCTATTCCTCTCCCCTCCTCTCTGTAAGAAATCAATAAAATATATTTTTTAAAAAAATTTCATTTATTGCTGGGGTGTAAGTTTATGCCATGCTGCTCTTTGCCTCTGTATAAATAAGCAACCAACAGCCTATCTTATTATTAGCCACTGGTCTAAAACTAATGATGGCGCCCTAACCGGTTTGGATCAGTGGATAGAGCGTCAGTCTGTGGCCTGAAGGGTCCCAGGTTTGATTCCCGTCAAGGGCATGTACCTTGGTTGCGGTCACATCCCCAGTAGGGGGTGTGCAGGAGACAGCTGATCGATGTTTCTAATTCTATTCCTCTCCCTTCCTCTCTGTAAAAAATCAATAAAAAATATATTAAAAAAAAATAAAACTAATGATGGCTTAAATACCTGAAAATGTATCGACTCCATAAAGAAAGTAATGCTGTATTTTCATCAACATCAACACATCTGGTTTTCTTCAATGCCTTTTACTTTCCACAGAGAATCACCTGACTTAAAAGACCAGGTATTCCCCATGCAATGCAGGAATTCTGTGATTTAAAAAGAACATTCAATTCCCTATCTTAAGCACAGCATTCACAGAATACGGTAGGCACTCAAAGTATTCTCTGGGTAAATCATTATAAAACTTTCACCAGCTGTTCCTGAGTAAAACTCACCACTAGGAGCACAACAAGTAGCTACTTCCTCTGAAGAAACAAGTGGCAATTTAGTTTCAGAATGGAAAGATCTCAGTAGAGATGAAAAGATCCCAGTAAAAAAGATAACTGGACTATTGTTATTCACAACATAGCAAAGAAAACATTAGAAGTTACATACCTTAGGGAAAAAAGGGGGAACGGGCCAAACACAAAATATTGGCATGCCAGAATTTTTAACTTAGAAAATATCTGTACAAGAACAAGGGACACATCACATTTAACCACCCATTGTCAATACGTACTGAGCTCACCTCAGAATAAATCAAATTGCAAGAAAATGGCCCAAATGAACTAGAAGACTTCCTGCAACAAACAGTACTATATTTAATAAGCAACACTTATCTCTACTTAGTTTTATAAAGTTCCCAATAACCGAATTTATATGAAAACTTCCTCTGCAAAGAGTAAGATGATTTTGATATTATCAAAGCATAATATGGATGTCAATCAGATGGTAAATTCAATTATCACGAGTTTTTTATTAAAAGAATCTCATGCTTTGTTCAAATGTAGCTTGTTGTTAGGAAATTTCCCTTCTTCCACTCTCCAAGTCAGTAAAAAAAATTAGGCAATATTTACATTGAATTTACAATCTGTTTCATTTAAAGGAAGACCCGTATGTCTTGTTATAATTATGTTAATTTAAATGATTGCTCTTACAGGTTACTAGATCCAACTTTTGAAAGTAAAATAAGCTTTGAAATGGAATCTGCCATTTTTATTAACTGAAATACATATTGCAAATATGCTGAGGGTGCCCCTCAGGCATTTGGGCTACATATTCTACTAATTTCGTGGGTGAAAACTGAAATAATTTTATGGCTTATAAAAGAAATAGAAAACCTATATAGTATGCAACAGATAACAGCACGTTTTTAAATGTTTCAGCTACTAGAGAAAAATCAGTTATAGAAACCATTATTTATATTTCAATCATAAACACTGCTCTTAAAACACAATCTATATCTGATTTACAACCATCTCTGAAAAACACAGGTTAATGTGCTTGCTTAGTCTTTTTCTCTGGCAAAGAGCCGAAAGTCAGACAATAATTCTGCTCTCTTACACATCTTGAGGGGGGGAAAAAAGTTAGATCTCAGTAAGACGAAGAGTCAAAACTGGCAGTTAAATGCATCATGAAGAAAAGAGTGACACTGAAGTGAAATTTCAGAGCATACTGTTCCCTATATTTGCAAGTGTTTACAAAGATTCTAGAAAGCTATCACCGACTTGATGACCTAGGCTTTCAATCTTTACTTTGTTTCCATAATACGCAGCTGCCAGTACTTTGAGCTACACATTTCAATAACAAACGTCATTTTATGTCCTACTTACACTATTCAGTGTCTGCATACAGGGTTACAAATATTATGTGGCATTATGTAGAATATTACTTATAGCATTTTCCAGAAGAGCAACTTTGAGCATCTTTGGAGCATCGGGGCTTGAAAAGCATTTTCTTTTCAATTTCTCAGTTCTTTTTAGGAAGTATTGATGGAGACTGAATTTAAAGTAAAAATGCTAACTTTTGTAAGTTTTAATAAAAAAAGGATTGCTATAAACAAGTTAAGTCAATACTGTTCCAGACAAACGCAGTGACAAGTCGCGCTTGACACTGACAGACGCTGAGCAGCTACAGCACAGACCTCACAGAAGACGACGAAGGTGCGGACCAGGATCAAGGCAGAGGGGAACCAAGGGGAACCTACGCCGATACACTCTAAAAGTCAGTGAGTAAATCATATCAGAAAGTCAACTTCCAGAAGAACTTGAGCAGTGAACCCCCACAGCTACAGTAAATCTTTCCCTTCAAGAATGGAAGACAACAAAATAACATTATACCAGAGGTAGAAAAAAATGAATTATTCACATTCTAACAGGTTTTTCCTGCGGTGTGAGTGTGTGTGAAAGCTTACAAAATCGAAAATGTGGAATAAAGTGGATTCATATTAAGATTTTGTGATAACAGAAAAAATTTAAGAAAAGAATATTTTCCTTGAGAGAAAAATATTTTCCAAAACTGGTTTAAAAAGCACCTATGAAACTGTGCTGTCGGCTGTCACACTGGGTTTTGGGATTCCTTTCTCAAGTGCAGCATAACAAAGGCATTTCACAGCAGGACTGTAGGGAAAATGTTGTCCGGTCTAGAATCACACAGAAAGCAATGAAGAGCTCTTTAATTGTTTATAATACACACATTTTGCTGAGTAGCAGCAGTTGCTCCTGTACATGCCCTTCAAAGGCGGGGGGAGGGACACAAAAACAATAGAGAGAAAAAAAGAGAATAAAGAATAGCAGCATTAAGTAGAAAGACAAATACTTAAATACATGAAAGAAGGCTTAAAACAAGGAAATGTTTCTGTGCAACTTTCACTTATGCCAAATAAAGTGCACTGCTTAAATGCTCACTGATAACATTTCCCCAGGTTGAAAATAGGAATCTACTTATTGGGATTTCTGATATTGAAACACAAAAAAAGAAAAAATAGGACATTTCTGTATTGCAGCCCTAGTAACTCTCTTCCAGTATTTTTTAACCATTCAGATGTATTTTGTGGGAATATTTATTCACATAATTTTGCTTAATACATTTCTTTCTACACAAGACTGAATTTAAATGTTCTATAACATTTTCAATGACAGTAACAACACACTAATAAATTATAAATTAACAAAATCTTCATATTTGCTTTAAAAATCATTTATCAAACACTAACTTCCAGATTATCTGGAAAATTAAAGATGCAAACTGCTATAAATCTGGCACCCTAATTGATTTCTGATTTTTAAAAGTATATAAAAGTCCCTCAAATTATTCCAAGTTTCACTCAAGAAAATTTTATTTTACTCTTTTCATAAGTTATGAAGCTTACAACCTGCTAAAACATTTACCCAAATGTGGGAAAACTGCCTGGAGATGCAAAGCACAATTAAATAATTACATGAAAAGAACAAATGAAAATACCCGTTAAAACAACATTACTGTACCTGACAGCACTTAAAACTGGTAATTTGTATTTTTTTAAAGTTGCATAGCTGCAAGATGATTCAATGCTGATTAGCTGTTGAGCAGTTTTATTTAAGAGGAAAGAATATACTTAAGAAATTACAATTCAGTAGACAATCCAATATTTAATTCATTAAAATGTAATTATGTAACCTGATTTACTCTTTGGACTGCATTCTGATAACATTAAACTTTTAACTTAAAATGTTAAAGTATTTTAGCTTTCCTATGTAGAAGTCTATTTTCCACTCTTGGGGAGAAAATATTAGAACTTGAGATCATGGTCTACATTCAGAGAACGTTTCACTGCTTGATTACATTTCTTGGTTTCACATTTAAGACTTTAATTTATAGGAAGAAGAGTATATGTGGTCTTCAATTTTAAAATAGATGAATGCAGAATCATGTTGGGGAAAACAAAGAGACCCCCAAACTAAAAAACACAACAAATCAAAACACTAGTTGCGCAGCTCTAGAGAGCTTAATAAGAAGTAAATCAACTTTTAAATCAGTTAACTTTGGCGTCTGCATACAAAATGTTTATCAGCATTACCTATGTAGATGACTATTAAGGGATGTGCAGCATTTTCAAAATCCCTGTGAGTCCTTATGTCATGTTTGGTGCACTGAGTTCTGTGGCAAATGTCCTCCCTCCAGCAGGGTTTTTCTCTATATGATTGTCTATCTCTGCATCGACTAAGTCACACAGAACTCAGATTTTTGGCTGAGTATGCCTGCATTTTTTGTTTTTGTTTTTCCAGAGACAGATCCCCATTTCCTCTTGTTTTTTTAAGCATCTTGAGAAGAGAAGAAAACCTGTGTAAAAGTAGACACATTTTGATTTAAGCAAAGGTCCACATTAGTAATACAAATCAAAACAAACATTCATTTCCCCATGAACATTGACTTAGTTACCGTAAATTTTCACACTTACTATTCTAAAAACTCATAAAAGTAGTGTTCTTCAAAAGAACAGATTAAGGACACACAGAAGGACCAATTAAAGCTTAAAATATCACAAAAAATTACCACCACATAGTTATCTCTCCTCTACAATAAAGACTATGTCAACATTTCAACTTTGTCATTATTCTACTTGTTATGGTGATCTGTGATCAGTGATCAGTGATCTTTGATGTTACTATCGTAAATGTTTTGGAGTACCACACACCATGCCCACATAAGACAAACTTAATAGATAAATGTTGAATGTGTTCTGACTGCTCCAGCAACTGCCCGTTCCCCAGTCTTCTATCCTTTTCCTTGGGCCTCCCTATTCCCCAAGACACAACAATATTGAACAACGGCCAATTAATAACTCTACAATGACCTCTAAGGGTTCATGTGGAAGGAAGAGTCACACATCTCTCACTTTAAGTCAGAAGCCAGAAAGGAGTAAGCTTAGTGAGAAAGGCATGTTGAAAGATGATAGGCTAAAAGCTAGGCTCTTGTACCAGTTAGCCAAATAGTGAATACAAAGGATAAGCTTTTCTTCTTCTTTTCAATTACTGATTTCAGAGAGGAAGGAAGAGGGAGAGAGAGATAGAAACATCAATGATGAGAGGATCATTGATTAGCTTTCTCCTGCACGCCCTGCACTGGGGATCAAGCCATGACCTCCTGGTTCATAGGTTGATGCTCAACCACTTAGCCATGCTGGCCAGGCCAAAGGACAAGTTCTTTTAAGAAGTTAAAAGTGCTACTCCACTGAATGCAAGAATAAGAAAGCTAAACAGCTTTATTGCTGATATGGGCAAAGTTCTACTGGTCTAGAGAAGATCAAACCAGCCACATTCCTCTATGCCAAAGCCTGATCTAAAGTAAAGCCCCAACTCTCTTCAATTCTATGGAGGCTGAGGGGTGAGGAGGAAGAAGAAAAAGCGTGAAGCTGGCAGAAGTTGGTTCATGAAGTTTAAGGAAAGAAGCCGTCTCCATAACATAAAAGTGCAAGGTGAAGCAGCAAGTGCTAATGTAGAAGCTGCAGCAAGTTACTCAGAAAGTCTAGCCAAGGTGATGAAGGTGGCTACATTCCACAACACACTTGCATGTAAACAACACAGCCTTAGATGTCATCTAGGACTTCCATAGCCAGGGAGGAGCAGTCAGTGCCTGGCTTTGAAGCTTCAAATGACGGGCTAACTCTTGCCAGGGGCTAATGCAATTAAGTTGAAGCCAATGCTCCTTTCCAACTTGAAAAGTCCCAGGGCCCTGAAGAATATGCTCAATCTACTCTGCTACATAAACAGAAAAACAAAACCTGGAGAACAGCATGTAAACCATGGTTTACAACATGGTTACTGAATATTTTAAGCCACTGCTGAGACGTACTGATCAGAAAAAAAATTCCTTTCAAAATAGTGCTGCTCATTGACAATGTACCCGGTCACCCAAGAGCTCTGATGGGGATGTACAATGAGATGACTTCTGTTTTCATGCCTAACACAACATCCATTCTGGAGCCCAGGAAATCAAGGACTAATTTTGATTTTCAAGTCTTATTCAAGAAATACATTTTGCAAAACTGTATTTGCCAGACAGTCATTCCTCTGAAAACCCCTGGAAGGATTCAGTATTATAGACACCATTAAAAAAAATTAGTGCTTTGTGGGAAGAAGGCAAAACATCAACACTACAGGGGTTAGGAAGTTGATTCCAACCCTCATAGATGACTTTGAGGGGTCTAGACTTCAGTGGAGGAAGTAATTGCAGATGCGATGGAAACAGCAAGAGAACCAGGATTAGAAGTAGAGCCTGAAGTGGGACTGACTTGTGGCAATTTCATGAAACACCTGAACGGATGAGGAGTAGTTTGGATAAGCAAAGAAAATGGTTAAGAATGTATAATCCAAATAACACTTCAAAAGGCAATTAAAACAAAAAGGGAGAATTACCTATAAAACAGGAAGCTGATGCTTAATCTGAAGGGTGCTCAGGGCAAGATCTATTTACTTCAAACCATTCATCTATGCAGCTAGAAAATAATAAAACCAGAAAAAGTGAAACATTTATGCTTAATTATTAATGTCATGACAGGCATAATAAAAAATGCTTACCTCTTTGCAAAAGAAAAATGAAATGCTTTTAAGTGATCATATTTGGCATATACATATAAGTAAAAGATAAAAATGTGCTTATTACATTTTGCTTATTCTAAGCAGTTAAGGAAATAATCTTTGTAAAATTATGCTATAAAATACTTTGAAGTTTAAGCAACAATCATTATAAAAAGAATCAAAAGAACTACCACTTTACCAATATTCAAAATCAAATGACAAATCTGAAAAGCTGTGTTTCGCTTCAAAATATTCATTTATATAAATATCAACCTGCTCATATCACCTATCAATGTAATCAAAAACTGCTTTTAAATTTTAATTCTTGACAATACTGCATCACATTTAAAAAGACCATATTTATATGTGAATATTAAATACTTATTTTAACTCTGTTCCATCCTGTAGTACATATACATGCACAAATAAGTATATCATCATCCACTCACATTTATGAAGTATTTGATGATTTTGTTGGGAAGTTAAATATTAGGGTGCACACCATTATCCTGTCGATCTGCACTGTTCAGTGCAGTAGCCACGTACCACATGTGGCTGTTTAAACTTAAATTCATTAAGTGAAATGAAAGAAAAATGCAGTTCCTTAGTCACACTAGCCACACTTTAAGTACTCAACAGCCACATGGCTGGTGGCTCCTCTACTAACAGTACGGATACAGAACACTTCTATCACCACAGAAAGCTCCCTGTGGCAAATGATAAACTTAAGTAACTTGCCCAACAGCCAGGAATTTTCCCCAGCAGGATTCAAACTATTTAACATTCTCTCCGTTGACACATTTCAAATCTGCACATGCCATAAACCAAGATGGTTTGGCCCTTGCTGGTTTGGCTCAGTGGATAGAGGGTTGGCCTGGGGTCCCAGGTTCAATTCTGGTTAAGGGCACGTACCTTGGTTGCAGGTACGACCCCCAGCCCTGGTCGAGACGCATGCAGGAGGCAACCAATCAGTGTTTCTCTCTGTCTCTCCCCATCTCCCACTCTCTTTAAAAAAATGGAAAAATATCCTTGGTGAGGATTAACACAGACCATACATACACACACACACACACACACACACACACACACACACACACACACACGACAGCTTGGCTAATATTCTTCTTGCAGTTAGTTTAAAATATTTCCTGTGTTGCTCTGAAACCACAAATACTTTAGAAGAAACCAGGTAGAATCTGGAGTCAAACAGATATGGGTAGAACCTCGGCTCTTCCATTGACTAGCCAGGTGGCCTTGGAGAGATTTTTTTTACTATTGTCCCTCAGCTTATTTCCTATTGTGAAATGAGGCTGATACAAGGCTTACATGAGCGACCGATTTTAGAAGCTGTGAACAATACCTGGGTCACAGTAAATGCTGGACAAATGATAGATTTTTGGGTACAAACAGATAGGGGCTTAAATCTTAATTCTAGCAGTAAAAAAAGGGGGCATTATTTGTTAAGAAATGGGGGGAGGGGGTTTCAGTGAAGAAGAAACCTTTTCCGCCCTCACTACAATGTCTGAAACTCTGAGGGAGATCTTTGCTAAAATCATTGTGTGAGCACAGAGATAAACTCACCCTTTATGGTAGATGCACAGACAAGGCAGCCGTGCTATCGTGTCCCCTTGCTGCAAGTCTTCCAGGCATATCGCACATTCCCCAGTATCTTTACTCAGGACATCCTCTGAGGAAAAAGGAAACAAAGGCAGGACAGTAAGCAGAAAAAGAACCACGTGAATGCTAACTGATAAAGAGTGATGACTGGCATATTTTGTCAGGAATATATAAAACTCAGCACCCATATTTGAAGTAAAGCAGAAAGACTGCACCAATCTCTACCTAAACGCTGAAAGACAGAGTAAGGTAAGGAAGTTTCCAAAAATTAAGTATTTGTACTATAAAAACCAACAAATTTAATTGTTCCCATAAATATAATAGTTCCTTGTAGAAAAGTATATTCCCTAAGCATTCCCCTTTTAGTTATTAATTTTGAGACCGCAGATTATGAGGAAACACAACTCCATGTGGCCTATAAAAGAGAAGGTAGCAGCAGATGATTTACCCGAAAGGCTGGAGGGGGTACCAGGGCAACTTCTGCAGAAAAAAGGCTTTGGCAGAGGATTTATGCTTTTGGAATCTAGGGAATAGGCTGAGGTGAGTATTCCCTAGATAACTACTGAGTAGCGCACAAGCTAGTATGTCACCACCAGAGACTCAACCTGAAAAGGATTTCCAGACAAGTAAAGCTGGGTAAGTGAAAAATGCTTAGTAATGGCCCCCTAAAGTGTCCTGCCCCATTTTTCTTTTCTTAATCCTGGAGATCCCACCCACTACCTTAACTCCACCCCATCTCTAACCCCAAGTCTTGCCTCCTTCTCTTGATCTCCATTTTTCTTTTTTTTAAAATTCTGGACAGCTTTCCACAGATAGGGAACCAGTTTAATGTAAAACACCTACGAAATCAGTGATAAAGTTAATTGGTATATGGAGACCCACAAAATGAAGGCCACCTGAGTGGCCCCATCCATGTCACAAACCTAACCCAAAAGCAGCATGCACTAAGGGGAACACCTCACTGTCAAAGGAACCTAACACCAATCAGTCCTCCAACTCAGTTCCAGCCAGCTTACCCTACCCTAGGAAGTAGGACCTGCTAATGGAGCTCCCCGCCACACATGCCCTTTCTTGTTGTCTCTTTGAACACTCTATAAAACTTGCTCCTGCCCAAAATCCCTCAGAAAGTGCTAGTAGGCAATGTACACCCCCAACCCCCGGACTGTTTTCCACTGAATAAAGAACATCAAACTTATTACAAAATTGTTTTAGATTTGACACTAGGAATATGATAGTGAGAACAAAAAGAAAGAAATCTGAAGAAAACACTAAAAGTCTCTAATTCCAAATAATCTATAATAATAAAAGCGTAATATGCTAATTAGACCAGACAACCTTCCAGACGAAGCCAGGGCTGTGAGGGAAGCCCAGATCCCGGGTGCTGGGTGCCAGATGGAAGTTGGTGCCGGCAGCTGGGGGAAGGAAGGCCCACTCTTGCACAAATTTCGTGCATTGGGCCTCTAGTATAATACTAGTATATTCTCACCACTTAGATTTTTACCACACAGATATACCACACATCATATATTTTTTTAAAAAGAACCATCACTTTTTATCAAGTATAAAACATCAATGATTACCTACTAGTTTTACATACCACCAAGGGGGAAAATGCCTCCATTAAACTATGATACAAATCAATTTTAAGATGCATCTCATTTTCCAAAGTATGAAGAAGAAGCATGTCTTAAAACTGATGAAATAGGGTATCATACTTTCTATATTTGGAATACATTAACAATGCATCTAGATTTAAGTCTAAAAGAGCCACAGAATCTAAAATGTCATAAATTAAGAAAATGAGATGGACCAGATTTTAAAAGAGAAAAAGTATTGCCAATGTTATCACCGATAAGGGTTAATCTCCAACATTTATAGGGAACTCTTACAACTTAACAAAAGGAACATAAACAATCCAATCAAAAAAATGGGCAAAGGACCTAAATAGACACTTTTCAAAAGAGGACATTCAGAAAGCCAAGAGACATGAAAACATGCTCAAAGTCACTAATCATCTGAGAGATGCAAATCAAAACAACAATGAGGTACCATCTCACACCTGTTAGAATGGCTATCATCAACAAATCAACAAACAACAAGTGCTGGAGAGGATGCAGAGAAAAAGGAACCCTCCTGCACTGCTAGTGGGAATGCAGACTGGTGCAGCCACTATAGAAGACAGTATGGAGCAGGGGTCCTCAAACTACGGCCCGCAGGCCACATGCAAATACAAATATTGTATTTGTTCCCGTTTTGCTTTTTTACTTCAAAATAAGATATGTGCAGTATGCATAGGCATTTGTTCATAGTTTTTTTTTTAAACTATAGTCCGGCCCTCCAATGGTCTGAGGGACAGTGCACTGGCCCCCTGTTTAAAAAGTATGAGGACCCCTGGTATGGAATTTCCTCAAAAAGTTAAAAATGGGGAGAAACTAAGATGGCGGCATAGGTAAACACCGGGAAATTGCCGCCTCACACAACAATTGAAAATTACCGCAAAGGACAGAGCAAACATCATCCAGAACAACAGGAAGGCTGGCTGAGTGTAAATTCTACAACTAGAAGGAAAGAAAAGCACGCTGAGAGCCAGAGGAGCTGCAGAGGTGAAGTGCAGAGGTACGGCCGGCTCGTGCGCGCGAGTAAAGGGGGTGGCACCTGAGGACGCGGCTGTCTTTTTGAATCACAAGCTCCCGACTGCTCTGAACTCCGGTTCCGGGAAGTCTCTGGGGACCCAGGACTCATACGGGGAGAAGCTGGTCTGTCCGGCAGCGGGCGAACTTGAAGGCGGCTTTCCCTCAGAGGTGCTTGCAGCAATTAGCAGGTCACTGAGACCCGAGACTCCGGGCGGAGAATCAGCCATAGCTCCTTGATCCGCCCTTTGATTCCCTGAGACCCCGCCCCACCCAGGCTGCGGCAGAGGCTTTTGCATGTGAATGTACCTAACTGCAGCCTAGCCAGGCAGACCCGGAACTTCCAAGAGAAGGCCCAAGGCCCCGCAGCAGCTTGCATTGCTTCACAGCTGAGCCTCTTCGTGGCTCCTGCTGTGTGGCCTCAGGCAGAGGCTGAATTAGCACCTCCTAAGATCCAGGAGCCACTGTACCCAGTGGTCAGAGGGGGACCATCCAGACTGCAACTCCTCAGATCCATAAGGGACACACTCAGGGAGCAGACTCAGTGAGCACCAAAGCCCCACTGAAGCAAGTCTTGCCCCAGAAGGGTGTCTTCAGCACAGAAGTTCTCCCACTTTAGACACAGCTGATTCTCACAGCCAATTGGCCTGAAGGTCAATTCCTCCCAGTGATCCTACAACAACCAAGGCACCAAGAGTGCACCAAGAGTGTCCACCCCAGGTAACTGGGGAGGCTGAGCTACTGGGCCCTACAGGACACCTGGCGCGCAGGGCCACTCTATCAACACAGGGAAGCTGCCAAAATGTGGAGACAAAGAAACAGGTCACAAATGGCAGAAATGGAGGAAAGCAAACGATTGGATATAGAGTTCAAGGCCACGTTTATAAGGTTTTTCAAGAATTTTATGGAAACCGCCGATAAATTTAATGAATCCCTCAATAAGTATAGTGAGACCATGGAGGACATGAAAAAGGACCAACTAGAAATTAAGCATACACTGACTGAAATAAAGAATAATTTACAGAGATCCAGCAGCAGAAAAGAGGATCCCAAGAATCAAGTCAAAGATTTGAAATACAAAGAAACAAAAAATATCCAACCGAAAAAGAAAAAAGAAAAGAGATTCCAAAAATATGAAGATAGTGTAAGGAACCTCTGGGACAACTTCAAATGTACCAACATCAGAATTATAGGGGTACCAGAAGAAGAGAGAGGGCAAGATATTGAAAACCTTTTTGAAGAAATAATGACAGAAAACTTCCCCTACCTGGTGAAAGAAATGGACTTACAAGTCCAGGAAGCGCAGAGAACCCCAAACAAAAGGAATCCAAAGAGGACCACACCAAGACACATCATAATTAAAATGCCAAGAGCAAAAGATAAAGAGAGAATCTTAAAAGCAGCAAGAGAAAGACAGTCAGTTACCTACAAGGGAGTACCCATACGACTGTCAGCTGATTTCTCAACAGAAACCATGCAGGCCAGAAGAGACTGGCAAGAAATATTCAAAGTGATGAATAGCAAGAACCTGCAACCAAGATTACTTTATCCAGCAAAGCTATCATTCAGAATAGAAGGTCAGATAAAGAGCTTCACGGATAAGAAAAAGCTAAAGGAGTTCATCACCACCAAACCAGCATTATATGAAATGCTGAAAGGTATTCTTTAAGAAGAGGAAGAAGAAAAAGGAACTCTTACCATTTGCCACAGCATGGATGGAACTGGAGAGCGGATAAATACCACATGATCTCACTCATTTGTGGAATATAATGAACAACATAAGCTGATGAACAAGGACTGATCCAGAGACGGAGAGGCATTGATTGGACTGTCGGGACTTGGAGGGAAGGTAGGGGAGGGTGGGGGTAAGGGGGAAAGATCAACCAAAGGACTTATATGCAAGCATATAGGCCTAATCAATGGACATGGACAACGGGGGGGGTGAGGGCATGAGCGGGGGGGGTGGGGGGGTGGGGGGTAGAGGGTAACGTGGGGACAAGGACACATATGTAATATCTTAATCAATAAAAAATATATTAAAAAAAAAAAAAGTTAAAAATGGAGCTCCCATTTGACCCAGTGATCCCACTTCTAGGAATATATCCCATGAAACCAGAAACACCAATCAGAAAGGATATAAGCATCCCTATGTTCATAGCAGCACAATTTACCATAGCTAAGATTTGGAAACAGCCTAAGTGCCCATCAACAGATGAATGGATTAAAAAACTGTGGTACATCTACACAATGGAATACTATGCTGCTGTAAAAAAGAAGGAATTCTTACCATTTGCCACAGCATGGATGGAACTGGAAAGCATTATGCTAAGTGAAATAAGCCAGTCAGAGAAGCATAAATACCACATGATCTCACTCATTTGTGGAATATAATGAACAACATAAACTGATGGACAAGGACAGATCCAGAGACAGAGAGGCA